GTTTTTTTTGTTTTGTTTTTTGAGTTTTTGCGGCACTAGTGGCTCGTTTTTTCAACAGTAGGCTGACATGAGAGGGGGTGTGAGAGAGGGGGAGCGACATGCGGCAAAGGACCACAGGTCGGATTCGAACCTGGGTCGGCCGTGTCGAGGACTAAGGACTCTATACATGGGTCATGCGTGCTACCGCTGCGCCATCTGCACGCCCCAAGACAGTTTTTTTTCTATGCAAGAACAGTTTAGTAAAAACTGACTTAAATGAATCAGCCCCACACTTCAGAGCACATAAAACATATGGGAATCTTTTCAAACGTAACTTTTTGTGAAATGTTCTGGACATGAAATCATGAAAGAAGAATTATTATCTAACCAAATCCCTTTCATTCTGATTCATTTGGGAGACGCTAAAACAATGGTGAGCATGCACCATAGAACAGTAATTAGTTGATTACAAAATATAACAAATACATTTTAGTATTAGTCAAGCCAAACCAGTATTTGACATGAATGGAAGAATTTGCATCCAATCATCAAAGAGACACATTAAAAAATCCGAATAAATTTTAGCCTCTTGATGATTTCATTAAAACACAGTTTTAATGGAATAAATGACAGATTCATCAAGAAAAACTGTTGAATAATCATCTGAACAGGTTCCTTTTTGTTGAAATGTCTCTTCTCTAAGAGACTTCTTTAGTCTGAGGAATTATGGGTAAACTAAGCCTTAGAAGCATTACCGGTAACTTTGCATAGAGGTTTAACAGGTTAATGCTAACAATTAAAAGTGGTTACTTAAATGCTAAAGAAAATAAACAACCCAAAGAAAGATTATTAGTACTCAGATGACAGCTTATTGTTCCCAGAGGGCTGAGTCATGCTTGCAGTAACAAGAAAGGAACGACTTGCCTCCATCTTTATTCAATGATGGGCAGCTTCTCTTCACAAAAATACCTTCTTTAACGTTTTTTTTTCCCCCGTTATTTTTAACAAACCTATATTCCTCTCTTTCCAAGATGAGGACATTTTCATCCCTAAAAGAGACAAAGCATGGGCCCTTCTGCAGTTTTCACTCATCTGAAGGCCAGCGGTCACTATGATGCTATTATTACGAGCGTGACTCAGTCCCTCTGGGAGCAATTAGTGGTCATCGAGGTACCACTATCTATTATCAGGCTGTTGGTTCTCTTCTGTATGTGAGCAACCAGTCACCATTAAACTTGTTGATTGACTATGCCTAGATACTGCCTCTGATGCTGAGTTTACCTCCAACTCCGCAGACTGAAGGAGTCTTGGAGAACAGACGAAACACTTCAACAAAGACAGCCCTTCCAGAAGACTTTGTCAACCTTTTTTTTCTGGATTATTGAGATGCATCAGGACATACTAGATGTCTTTAATTAAGCCTTAAAAAGAATAAGTGGAGCTGTTAATTCTCATCTCCCCAAATGCTGTTCAATTCAGTGTATTCAGTTTATGTAACTTAATGGTGTTTATTCTGGAGCAGAGGCTTAATTCCTGGTAATCTGTGTAATTCCTGGTAATCTGTGTCCATACCACTGTAGAACTGGCGTCATCATGGACAGTGATACCAGTGATCCTGTGGTTTTGAGCTGAAGTGATTCTTGAGTTGCTCTAAAACATCCTAACAGTCAAATGGTTTAAATCTGGACACAGTAGAGGCACTAATTCCAATGTTCTCAAGCATTAACCTAAATTGTCATGGGTTGGATTTAGACTGTCTTGAACCTGCAGGAATAGCATTCCCAGAGCTTTAAGTAAATAAATTTGAAAATTTCTGGACTATGCTTAAATGTTCAGTCTGAACAACCAAACAATAAAAAAACAACAACTAATAACTAAGGCAAAAAGAGTGGTGAAATATCAATACAGAATGATGCTAAAGCTTCTTCCCACTTTATAAGAGGAATTCAACCTACCAGTAAAGGTTTCATTTGACCTTACATGGGTTTTTGATAATCTATATGATATAACAAATTTTGGAATCAAGACTTTTAATGATTCAGTTCGATTTTTTATAGCCAATAAATAATCACCAAGAATTGTAAAATTAATATTTGAATAAATAAGAGCTGACAAAATGATAATGAGGGTGATACTGAGTGGCTGAAAACATCAGTAATTAAACAACTCTACAGTATTGAGATAAATAGAAACTTGAGCGGATGTAAATGCTGCTAAATTAACACTGCAGCTGGTTAGAAAGTATCAAAACCTCTTTTAATCTCATCAAACCAACAAATGTAAGTAAAATTTCTATTTTGACATCCTTATTTTACGGAACTTCTATGCTGAACATTTTTCTTTCAACTCTTGTTATTAATCGTTCTCATTACATTCATAAATAATAAGAAAGTTAGTCATTTCAGTGAGTTTTCCATGTTCACACATCAGAAACAATGAGTCTAGCTACATGGAAAGGACCTGGTGATTAAAACAGACAGATTGCCTCAAACTGTGAGCTGAAAGCAGTTTCTCTCTGGTTCTGATCAGACGCTGCCTCGTTCCTAAAGAGGGCGTGTAGAGAAGTCAGACTACCAAGAGACGACTGTTTCACATGAGGAGAAAAGGAAGAAAAGAGGAGCTTTAAAACAGAGAATAAAGCTAAGCTTCACAAACACAGAGAGGACCTGCTTTCAGCTGCTGAGTGTGTCAACCTATTGGGAAGTTTTCATACCTGTCTGTGGGTGGAGCATCTGCAGAAGATCTGACAGCTGATTGGTTAGAGAGGACAGCCGGTGGCAACAGTGACAGGAGTAGAAGGAGCCAGAGATGCTGCAGGGCGGAGCTTAGAGAAGGAACAGAAAACGCAAGGGACCCACCCATATCCAGAAGGCCCTTCCCCAAGTTGCCCCATTCACTACAACTACTGTAACACACATCCAGTGCTGCAAGAAAGGAGTTCACAGGGCAGGAAGACAGCCTTCACAACGAGCAGTCGTCATTTAGAGTACACGATGAAGAGAAGCAACAACCGAACAGTACATGCGGATCTTCAGAAGAAAGAGGGGAGTAACAGAGAATAAGTGGTGCAGGGTGTGTTTGTACTAACAGGCAACACCAACACCAACAGAAGGAGTCAGGGACTCCGAGATGGAGCCTATGAGGGGATTTTATATGAGGGGAAAGCACGGCGCTTTGACAGTTTGTTCAGTTAGCGAGATTCCTTTAATTTGACTTCATCTTGTGTCTACATTTACCCCGGAACATTTTGGTCCTCAGATGGACTTAAATGTTCCAGTTAAAACATGTACACAGACTGTTTTCTCCACTTTAAAGATATCATAACACTTTAATGTTTTAGATTTCTTTGTTTTTTCTTTCCATTTTTAATGATAATATTTCTATCAAAAGCATTATGACCCAGTATAAAAATGCTTCCCTTGTATGTAATGCTACCTGTAGAAATAGGAAATCGCTGGAAGAGAATCTATCTGACAACATGAAGTAGGCTAAGTTATCTTTTAAAAAGTAACAAAATATATCCCAATCTGAAAAATGGTTAAAAAGCTATTTGTAAGGCTGAGCTACATTCACACAGAAGGCAAAATTGACACAAGCCTGATATTTTTGCCCATATTTGGATTATATATGATCTTTTTTTTTATAGCAGTCTGAATAGCGTAAATCCGATCTTTTCACCTAAAGAAAATATCTAAAAATCAAATTTGAACTTTTCTCATTAGTGATACTAAATCAAATTCATGATGGACTTCAAAGTAACTGTAGTCTGAACGGTCATGGAGCATTTTATTCAACTTTTATGTCATTGCTTTGGCTCCCACTACACATCCACACAGATCAGCTAAAGACCACTGGTAATCACTATGCTCCGTTTTCTTCTTACTTTCCATGATGTGGTCTAAATACTGTTGGCTCCCATTGGGCAACAGTTGATCAATAACAAAGAAAGACAATAGAATCAGCAGCCGTGCGCAGAAACCACTGACTGATGTGACGTTTTCCTTCTCTGTGCATCCAGGTTGCTTTGGTGTCCTGAACTGTTTGCACAAAGTCAGGTGCCACTCATATTTAATTTGTTTTATGAATAATCGTGTGAAAAACAACATATTTTAGACATGAGCATCAAGACCTGCTATGTGAAGATAGCTGTAAAGACTCCAGAAAACCACAGCGAGAACAAAGATGGAGTCCATGAGTCTACAGTACAAAAATCCCTCTAAGAGAAAAAAAAATAATAAAGTGCAGTAAAGTTAATAGTGAAATTTTACCAACAAAAAGTAGAACTTCCTTAACCATGCCTTAGCTCAGTTAAGGTCAAAATGGATGATTTAACAATGAGAAAGAGATTGAGCAAAAATGATATCTATGGAAGATCTCCCAAAGAACAGAAAGGCCTCTTGTGTTTGAGGAAAAACAAAACATTCTTATGATCTACAGACCTTCTGGGAAAATGTCCTGGGACTGATGAGAACAAAATAAAAATCAGGTACAGTAGTAGTTTAATTCTGTTACTAACCAACAGGTTAATTTGACAAAGGTCTGGGCAATATAAGACTGTATAAGACTTTATACCATAGACAAAGTGCATGTAAGTGTTGCTTTAACGAGTCAAATAATTGGATTATAACTACAGGGGGTGAGCAGTATAACATTTCTAACAGCTTGCAGCCTCTTTCTTCTGAAGCAGGTTATAGAGTCTTTCCTGTGCTCTTGTCTTTTATATATCATTACTCTTTTAAAATGCATTTTTAACAAGAGTGTAACAGGAACTCCTTTCTTATTAAACAGACCTATACACAATTTTGGCAAAGGACGATTTTAGCCACTAAAGTGCATCACCTTGAATTTCTTGCAAGCTGAAGTACTTTTTACATTTTGTGACGTTATGAACATAAACTTTGGTGGATTAAACAGGGAGTTTAAGTAAAACAAAGTCATGCATGGTACTTGGTTTGGTCCAAAATGGTCAACTATTTTAAGACACAAACACCTCATAAGTGTTCATTCAGCTGCCTTTACTCTGATAAAGAAAATAAAATGGTACAAAATTAGTAAATACACTCCAACTGTGTGTATTTAAACTTTTAGTCTTTGCTACACACATCATCTAAAAAGAAACGTGAATGAAAGCTTCTTTTTGTAAAAGAAAGCCAGGAATGGAGATGGATTATATTGCTTTGGGAGAGAGAAAAAAAATCAACATTTCCTTCTCCTCACTTTTATAAGAACCGAATAAGTATTATAAGAAAAGTTGCTTTCTAATTAAAACCCGAGCAGAGGAGTGACTTAAATGAGCTGCCGGATCGTGACATGTTCCGCCTTATCGGTCCCATTACTGGGAGGTCGTTCGCATTTCTTTCCAATGTTGGAATATTTTTGCTGAACTGGAGGCTGTTGATAGTAAAACAGAGGGAGAATGTGGGAGCCAAGAGGAAAAACATTTGTCGCTAATTAGAACTCCTACGCCATCACTTCCAGTTTGGTGATAATAAAATCTGATCATTTTTATCTGACAACAGAAAGATGATGAGTTCTGCTCAAAAGCACCCTTGATTTTTAGTAAATAACTTCGAGCTTTCTACCGATCAGCTGCAAGTGGCTCAGTTTATAGACAGCTAACAATCACAGTTACAAATCTGTTCTGTGTTTATTTCCTCCATCATCTTCTGTGTGGTTATAAAACACCCCTGGAATGAACTGAGCTTGCAGGGAATGAGTCTCTGTTCCTGCTGCAGAAAAGAAGGATTTTGTTCTTTCAGCAAACAAAAAAGTGGCTTAGCTCAAAATGTCAGAATGACCTCTGTGTCTGCAAACAACAGGTTACATCAACACGACACTTACTGAACTAATGCATGTAACCAGTTTCTCCTGGGAGCATGTTGTATTTTTCACATTTGGTCGTGTTCTGATGGTCCAGGCTTACTGGGATGCTTTATGACGTCAGCAAAAATAGAACGGCTTTTCGAGCCAATTATCCTGATTCAAACCGCTCAGAGGGAAAGCTTGGGTTTGAAATATAAGTTAAAACAGAGCATTGACTTCAGATCTGATGCTTATGATTACATGGAGGATTGATCCTATCGAAACAAACTAAAACTATTTTATTAAAGTTATAGTAGAGGATGTTCTTTTTTGAAGTGGATCATCAAAATAAGTGGTCCTCCTAATTGTCAATCATTCTGGTGATATGTTTACGTAAGGCCGTCCTACTGTAGGTGTTCATCCCCACTTTCACTTACAAGTGGTGAGTCTGACATAGTGTAAATCTTCTTTTTCGAAAGTAAGCTTGTATGAGCAATGCAAACAGCAATTTTTAAACAGAGCATGCACGAGGAGAAATGGGCTCCTGTAGGCTCTTGCACCCATTTAATAGGTGCTCCTACTCGGGGAGCATGTAAAGGATTGTGCATGTGCATTTTTCCTTTAAAGCGGAGAGGGCGGGTCTTTTAAAAAATTTTGTCTTTGTGTTTATTATTCAGACAGTTTAATTATAGTCACACGTTATCAGTGTTAATCTGTTAACAGCATTGTTTTCTCACAAATTATTGCAGTTTTAATTTTTTTAATTTTTCAAAAACGAGACCAAAAATCAAAAATGTAAAAACAAAAGAAAAAAAATCAGTTTGTCAAATTTATACTATAAAAATACAAATGAAAGCTCTGACTTGTTCTGTCGTGAAAAACACACTGTTCAATAACTCACAGAGATTTATGTTACTTAAAGCTACTTGGCCATTAGGAAAAACGCTAAGCAGTCCAACAAACACAGACATGTTGGGTCCTTACCGTGGTCTCGTCCTCATGCAGCACCTGGTCATATCCACTCAGAGCCACACAGAAAATGATGGCCGTCACATCTTCAAAACAGTGGATCCATTTCTTCCTTTCTGACCTCTGACCTCCCACATCAAACAGCCTGATGGACACGAGGGGAACACAAAAAAAATTATGTTTTCTAAATCTCAAAGCCTATTTATATCTATCCATCTACCTATCAATATTCAAAATCGATGTTGTTATTTTTAAAATTTAATGACTGCTGATTTTTTTCTGTCTTTAATGGAAAGGTATTTAAACTTTCAAGCACAACTGTTGCTTTAAATACTCATAACATATAGGTCACATTTGTAACAGTGAAAATGTTTTTAATGTTTAAATATTATATCTAGTCAGCTATATTTTTCTAAATTACCACAATCACGTTGTATGAAGATCACCCAGAAAAACTTAAATCATCACATGGAAAATGGTTAAGTAAGTAAGAAAATGAAAATAACTGCAAGAGAAGGTGAACAAAATGTCAATTAAAATGTTTGAGAGGAAACAATTATTCAGGCACAGACACTGAGTACTCGCGATCAGATTTAAATCAGTCCTCCAACACACAAAAAAAGCTTTAAGACAATTATAATTTGATCATTATAGTACTACTAATATAAATAATGCAAAATATGGATCAAAATGAAAAAAAAAAAGAAGCTGACTTGTTCCTGTGAGCAAATTTTATCCAAGCTCACCCTCAGTCAGAATCATAGGAGAAAACAACCCTGGTGCTCCTAGTCTCCAGTTCATGAAATCCTAAATAAATTGCTCTGATATGGTGCTGCTTATTCTGAGGTGTTCCAACAGCACAATGATGCGTAAATGGATCCAGATTCCAAAACATTTGGACGTTTGAATAACCCAAACCCAAAAACTGAGTACATGCCAAGAAAGCAGACAATTAAAGAGAACTACCCCATATCTGCCAAGACAAATGGCCTACTATCCAGCAGAGTGGTGCCAGAAGCTTGCTGATGGCTACCAGACAGTGGTTAAGTGCTGTATATACTTGAACTGTGCTGTATATGAGTGTATAGGTGTGACCTCATTTGGTTCAGAAAAAAACTTAAACAAATTCTTAGTTGTGCACACAACTATAGTATCAAATAAATCACTGTTATGATTTATCTTTTTAAACATTTAAACCTGCAGAAATTAATACTGCAATCATATCATCCATACAACACATTTTTGTGACCTTGTCTTTTATTCCAAACACACTTTAGAAAAATGCTTCTTTTTTTATGTAGGGATTTGAGTATTTCATGATTTTATATTAAATCATCCTGCAAACTTTCCCTGCAGAGACCAAAACCTGATTGAATTGCTGAGGAACAAAGAAAAGCTAAAAATATTAAATCTTTGAACCTGAAGAGAAAAGTATAAACAACAGATGTTAAACATTTAGACCATTTTGCCAGAAAAGGAAAACACCCCATCCTGACTCTGTATGGTTTTTGTGGCGTTCAGAATGAGAGGCCTGAGCTAAGAGTGAAACTAAGCCAGCCGAGTGTGTTTGGAATGGGTATAATGGCAGGCAGGCTGATGGGTTCCGCCCAGTGCAGGAACAGGGAATCCTCCCACACTGCATGACTGCCAATAATAGCAGCGCAGCTGAATATCTGCAGGATGGGCCTCTCAAAGAAAAACAGATAGAACAGCAGCTACCAGAGTACCGTATATGTGGAACCTCTGGATCACCACAGCAACTTATTGCTGAGAAATGGAGAAAAAAAAAGTTTATTTACCATTTGTTGCTTTATAAGTGAGCTTTAGCTCAGGAGAATTATCGCAGAGAAAATTTCCTTCTATTTCATTTCTCATCATATCGCCTCCCTTCTTCTCCATTATTCCCTCTGCTCCGTGGTCTAATTGAATCTAAATTCATTAAAGCGCCAGAGAATCATAAATATAGATACTTGTTTAAACCATTGGTTCTAATTAAATACAGATAGGATCTCCTGCTGAGTGGAATCTGGAGCAGGTGGACAAACTCAGAGGGTTTTGTCGAGGTTCTCCTAACCTGAAGTGAAGGTTTTTGAAGGTGAAGTGCGTCTCGACGATGCCTGTGGTCTTCACTCGGGTTCTGAGTATGTCCTGCTCTGTCGGCTGGTAGTCTGCTGCGCCGATCCGATCTAGGCTGTCGAGGTAGCTGCACACACACACAGAATAAAATGTTATGTTAAACATCAGCAGGAAATTCCTTACACCACCCAGGAGATCCAGTTGTGGTCGGACACCAAACTATTCAGCACTCTGGTTTGCTCCTGCATGTCAAAGCCAACAGATTAGACTTTTATGTACATTAAAGTATCACACTATTTTCATTTGGCAATAGCAAACAACTTTTTTCAGGTTTTGCATTTATTTTTAATGAGAATATTTTTGCTAAATCTGCTGGCTGTTTGTAAAGAATCCATATTTTGGGGTTTCACTTACTAGGGGACACTGTGGAGTACAAAATATTTATTTAGGTTTTCATCAAAATTATAGTGACCTGATCTTCCACTTAAGCAGTCAGCCTTTCCTAAAAGTCTCAATGGGTCCAGATTTCCTAAAAGTTATTTTCACATTTATTCTTCCTCTTTTATGCATTTTTTTTCTAGTCCAGTCACAGCTACAGGAATATGGAAAAGTGTTTCATATATTTATTCACTTTCCATTATTCACAAGTAAACTCAAAGTACTTGCTATGAAGTTGTTTTTTTTATACCTTAGTGTAAAACCATCCTTTGAAAACAGCTACCAGAAAAAAATGTTATAAAATGTGGGCTGTTATATTAAGATTTTAAGAATAAAAATAGATACTAGTACTTTTTGTATCATTTAGAAAAAATATATATAATCAAAAACAGAAATACAGTTTTGTGTAGCTGAGAGATCACCCTCATCTAAATGTATGTTAAATATATTCCACCAACTCAACTTTTGATAGTTTCAGATGTTTGAACAGGTTTCCTACATCAACTGCAGACACATGCAAGCAGCAAACTTCCCAAAGTGTTTCCAAGGAACAGATCTAGCTCTACTTTCCTGGTAGCAAATGACTGTTGCTATTACCTGCAATCTCTACTGCGCTTCAGACTGATCATGCTGATCGTATCAGTTCCTGTCCTTTTGTTTTGTGTATGACTTGAAACAAAATAAAACGTTAGCTGAATGAATGAATGAATGAATGAATGAATCTTTATTGATCTCACAATGGAGAAATTCACCCGTGACATCACCTCTTATTTCGAGCTAATGTCACGGGTGACATCAAAACAGAAGGTGCACAAATGAGGAAAAGATGCATAAAATATATACAGTGCATTCAGATATATACAGCGGATGGGAAGAAATAAAGTAGGAGAGTTATAAGGTGACTTATATTTACAGTATCTTATGTACAGTAAAGTGGTGGAAGGTAAAGTGCGGTTTCTGGTTTGTTAAATAGATAAATAGTATAAATTATTGCTGTTATTGCAGCAGGAAATGGATCAAGTCCTTCATCATTCTGAGAGGAATACAATTTTTTTCTTGGCTTGTTGATCTAACCCTGATCTATGACCATAGAGTGACAGCAAAACGATATGTGCATCTTAAGAAAAAAAAGGTTACATCAGAGTCGCTCCTTATGTCTTCATCCCCCTCTCTTATTATATCAATGATCTTGTATTTCTGAGAATCTTAAAAGTATATTTAAAAATCCAACAATATATTGAATGTTTAAAATTTGCCTCAGTCACCTAGCAACCAGCCTGAATTAGAATTAGACAACAATTTTGAGGTCTACCCCTCAGGGTAGCCTGGAGCCAACTGACTGCTATGTCAGTGCTAAATGAATTTGACTGCTAAGTCAGAGTATGACATTATTTATGGGTATATTCTGGAATGGTTCCTGCCAATACTGGGTGAGATGTTGACATTATACTGTTTTGGTTCTTTTTGAAGCCAGTGCAGCTTCAAGAATAGCTACTGTTCAAACCATGCTGCTGTTTCAAACTCCATAAAATATATATATAGCCACCATATTCTAAACATGACTCTGAAATACTAACACCTCATCAACTGCCGGCATATTTATGCAATCTCCTCAAGCTAAATTCCAGCCATTTTCATCTCCGTTCCACCAGGTGGCGCTCTTACCAGATTCCAATGGTTTTTACTGAGCTGGGGAAGAAATCCTTCTCTTACTTTGCTCCATGGTCCTGGAATAATTTGCAAAACTTGCTCCATTTAAATGATCTAGTCCCATTGAATAAATTTAAGGCCATGTTAAAATGTCATGTCATTCAAAAATGTAACTGCCCTATGTGACCTGTCTTTTCCTCTATGTGAGATTTTGTCTATGGTGTATTTCTGTTTGTATTTTAACTGGTGTGCCGTCTTGGCCAGGTCTCCCTCGAAAAAGAGATTTCAATCTCAAGGGACTTCCTGGTTAAATAAAGGTTAAATAAATAAATAAATAAAAAATGAGCAAATATATAACTTTTATTTGCTTCCCTTTTTACTTACCTACATACAAAATTTGAGGCAATACTGAAAAAGTCAGGCATCGCTAAGCTTTCAGCTACACTTTTAATACATGACAGAGGTTATCTCAATGTAAAGATGATCACTAGCCTGACTGATTTCTTAAGATCATACTCTGAACCCTCTATGAAGGGAATCCGAGGCACCATAATTAACACCCCTGGATTCTAAGAACTCTATGTAGAAAAAGTGCCTTAAAAACTATATTGAAAAAAACTTTATTAGTAGAGATTTTTCCAAATATTTATTTAATTTTCAAAGGATTTCATTATGTATCCTTCTTCTCGTATCTCTAGCTAATAGGTGCATAGTGAGTTCAGTGTAAATGCAGAGGATGTATAAAAGGCTTTCCTTTCTGTTGTCTGGAGGTGCTGACTCTAAACCCACGCTCACTTAAACATAAAAACAACATATTTTCTAAAGCACGGGTAAAGAACATCTTTATGAAGCTGGCAGCTCATCCACAGACGTTTTGCTATGATATTACTATGTTATTGCTGTGCAGTAATATAACACTGGTGCTTTATCATGACCTCTACGTTAGCTCTGCTGCCAACCTATGGTTGAATAAATAACTTAATGAAAAAAAAACAGTGCTTAGATTAAAAAAGTAGCACCACATCCCTTTGTTTTTCTTACTTTTTGGTTAGAGGGACTCCTGTTCATCCCATGGTCCATGAAGAGGGACCAAAGACCCAGCAGCCAATCAGAAGTCAGGTTTCATTTGCTTGCTTTATATTTTCTGTTTAACAGCCGTAATTTCAGATTAGATCCCATTGTATGCACCGTGGCAGATGGTTCAGGGTTGTAAATTCTTATAATTTTTTTTAAAACGCACTGAATGAAAAACAAGTTCTTAGGAAGCAACCACAACAAATCGCTTCGTTATCACAAATAAGCACACATTACTGATGCTCTCCATGTGCAGAGATAAACTCTTACTCAGGGCAAAGCACAGACTAGTAGAAGATAGGAACACGATAAGCATTTTAACATCTCCTCAGTGTAATTGATATGTTATTACTTTTTTATTTTCAGACCGGAGATATTCTTTCAGGGCTAACTGACACTCGGTTACTTTAAAGAAAAACGATGAAGGCTTGTCGAAATGTAGAAAGAGTAAGAACAGGTAGGTGGAATCCACACACAAGCACCAGCAGCTTCAGTGTTAAAACTATTGATTTCACAGAGAAAGTAATATTGGTTAGATTGTGTTTTGGGAAAGGAACTAGATGAAAAAATGAGAAGAGGAAAAAACTTTTTTTCCCCCAGAGGCATTAATCTGGAACAGCAATGATTTTAGTTTTGTGTTTGGGAATGAAAATAGCTGCAAAAAAAAAAAAAAAAACATATCCTACAGATAAATGCCTTGTTTGCTTCCATAGAGCACAAGCGGACACGATTAATGATGACAGGTTTTAATTTCAAATGAGAAAAGGCAATGATTGGATTACTAGGCAATCAAACAGCCCACCTTGTATTAGCATCAACGCAACAAATGGAAAATTAGGTAAAATGAAGGAAAGGCGGTGAAAATAAATGAAAGCTAAAAGCAGTGAAATCCATCTGTCTGGTCTTTTTGAGGCAACACCAGAAGGACAATTAGAAAACGACTTTTCACTTCATGGATAGGGCATAGATGTGAAAATTATTTTGTAAACAAACATCATAGTATCCTTCTGGAAGCTGCTGAGTGTATCCATATCATTTGTATTAAGGGCACCCTGACTAAGTTATACATAGAAACACATTTTAGTGGAAATACTGTATGGCAACAATTGTTGAGTTTTGCCTCTGTCACTTTTGCAGATTGTGAATTATCTTGGTAAAGATTGTTGACTGGATTTACAGTAGATCTGCTTTTGTTCTAAGCCATACTAATGTGACTATGCTTTGATCAGAACCACTCCATTGTAGCTCCAGCTTAAGGTTCATGTTTTGAGTGTTTAAGAGTTGTATTTGGATGAATATGTTTGATAAAGCATCATTGTTCTGTAATAGAGTTCAGCAAATATCCTTATTCAGAGCATCAAAGAGATACAGATGCATAAATAAATAATCCAATTGGATGAAAAACATATGGCGGCCCGAATATTTATCAGTCCAGGCTTCCAGAACAATGAAACTCAGCGGTTTCTAACAGCCTTTTTCTTTTTTTTTGTTGCTAAATTTAAGTTCACATGATGGATGAAGCAAAAACGTAAACAGGAGTCAATCATCACATTCTAAGATATGGTTTCTGCAGCACTTAGATATGAAGAGCTTTAGGAGATCTCACAGCTTGTGAAAGAGTGGTCTATTTTAAGCATCCAGTGCTGATTGTGAAATAATATTTAGTTTAATGAATCTAAACAGCATCCAGAAAGCTCTTAAAGTGGCTTATTTGGAGAATGACTGGAGAAGTAAGAAGGACACATGGGAAAAATAGATCAAATTTAAATTAGATATGCTCATCTACTAGTGACATTAAGATTTTTCATTAATGGATATCAGTTATAAAATACTTTAACTATTACATAATTGATTTTAGCACAAACGCAAAACTGTGTAATTAAAGAGTTACAGGGCGAGAAAGAGCTACAGAATATTACACTGTATCACAAGCTTCAGCACACATCTAACTTTCCATGATCCAGG